CTCACTATGTAGCTCAGGCTGGTCTCGAACTCAAACACGCAGTGATCCTCCTGCCTCAGCTTCCTGAATGCTGGGATTACAGGCATGCGGTACCACGCCCGGCTCAGCTTTTTCAACTATTAAAGAGAGCATGGCCTCCATGTCTTCCATTTCTGAATTTAAGAGAGCTAAGCACCTGGGAAGAGTTTCACCTTACTCATCTAGAGACACTGTAATAATTCATTTTGGCTCTTGATAAACAGAAAATACAGTTCTGCCTCACCCCAAACTTCCACCATTATAATAAGTAAGTCATATTGATTTTTAAAATACATTTAAAAAAGCATGGAATAAGCCAGGTGTGTGACAAACACCTATAATCTCAGCCCTCTAGTAGGCCGAGGCAGGAGGATCAAAACTTTGAGCCCAGTCTGTGCAACTTAGCAAAACTGTCTCAAAATTTAAGCAGCTACAATGTAGGTCAGTATGAAGGCCCTAGGCTTAGTCCCCAGGACAGCATTAAAATATACACATACATACACACACATATATATTTGGACTACACATAAGCTTTCAGAGCAAATCCCTACTATAAAATCTCCAGTCCTAAGAAGACAACTGCTTTGCTTTCCTATGCGAAGGAGATCATATTAAGTAACCTTGATGAATCAATTTTGATGATAAAATACTTTAATATATGGCAATTCTATAATCCTTAAGGAATTCTTTCTGTTTTCATGGTGAATTTACAATTGAGTAAATATCTATAGTAATATATGTCCCTTAACAGAATTGATAGACTTTCGGAAGAATAAAAAATGATAATCTGCAGGACTGACTATAAGGTTCAGGAAATGATGTATTGCTTATAGACGAAGACTACTTACCAGAATTAAGATACTGTAATTTGCTGCAGGTCACAGGTAACTATTAGTACTTGGAAATGACAAGAATGTCTTCAGGAAAAATTTTAATCAAGGAGTAAGAATGCCAAATTACACCTAACTGCCTGTTCCACATTGAGTTTAACATTTATGAAATGAATTTTAGTACAAAACTCTAACTAATGATGTATAACATGAGTTTATCCCACATATTTACCTGCAAACTTGAGTTCAAAAAGCTGATTTTTCTCTACCTAACTGGTTATGTACATCGGGATGTAACTGAGATTGTGGGATCTGTACTTGTGAAATAACACTGCTTTATGCAGTATTTTAGAGAAGTATAGCTCTGGACTGTTCCTACACATTTACACCAGTATTTTCCTGGGGCAGTATTAATGAAATTGACCATTTCCTGAAAAGGAGAATCAGTGCTACTGTCTGACTCTCCCGCAGCCTTTGTTCCTGTTGAAGGATGAGTTCTGTCAACAGAAATAAAAATGTAACTGTAACTAAAGCCACAAGATGATAATTTTAAAATTTTACTGTCTCAGTTCTAGTAAAGACATCTTGCTGTGTCTGAAAGATGGATTTTAAAGTTTCAATGACTATGCTCAGATAAAATTGATGACACTTATTTAATTTAGTACCTCAGAAAAAACAAAGAAACATATTATCTCTACAATAACAGATGGTTCATTACTAGCCATGAATTCTTTTTTTACTGACTGGATTTAACTAAACATATCTGATAGTAATATAACAGATGCATGCATAAACTAATAAATATTAGTTCTCTGGGGCTTTCATTTTATGCATGATTTAATAACATCAGAATAAAACATGATGATGTTGTCTAATAAATGAAAAGTAGTAGTCATCAGCATTTTTAAAACAGCTATCATTTTATTCTATATTATTATTTTTAGATTGTTTCTCAAAACGACAAATTTGATGAACAATTTAAAGTTTCAAAGGCAAGAATTAACAACGTAACAGCAACAAATTTTTTAAAAAATTATATCATCTAACAAGCTAGATGGATAATAATAACAGTAATATGGCTTTTTCATAAACTTGGCAGGCCAATCGAAGTCAACCAGGTAAAACGGACAATTTATAGTCTTTAAGAGAATTTATCACAATTATCATACCATTGTGTCTAATAATTGGAAGGACACATGTAAGATTTGAGGAAAACTTTACGAGTGAGAAGAGACTGCCAGAGTGAATTTAGGAGTCTATGTTGATGTGGTGTGGGGATGTAGAGCTTGAGGAACAATAAACTTGCAATGAAAAAATTTGAGAAAAATTTATTTATGTATTTATTTTTTACTTTTTGACTCAAGGTCTTGCTATGTATTCCAAGCTGGCCTTGAACTCTGTAGTCCAGGCTGGACTTGAACTCGTGGTGGTACTCCTTGCCTCAGTAGCCCAAATACTGGGATCACAGGCCTCGCCTCCATGGCTGACTGAGAAAAATATATTTAAACAAAAATATCTCTGCAGAGTTTTGATGTATAATGTCTTCCTTTCTCTTTTCTTTCTTGTTCTGATGGTTATTTTTACTAGTATAGATTTGCAGTACAAAATGAAGATTTTCCTACCATAAGGATTTTCCAGACTTAATAAGAAATCAATATCAATTTTATCTTGAATAATCTTCATACTAACATTTTCAGAGCATATCTTTTACACAATACATTAATAAAGTATGTTGATCATATGAAAATGAGATTGCCTCTCAATCACCACATCTAGAAGGTTCCCAACTTATTCTTCAATAAAATATGCATTTATTTATCTTTAAAATAAAACAGGTTTGTAATATGAATTCATTGAGAACACTGTTGTGTTCCCAGCACAAGAAGAGCTCCTGGCAAGCAGTATACATAAAGACAGTATTTCATCAGCAGCGGCCATCATTTCACATTTATAAAATCTCTGAAATATGGGTTTCTTTTTCTTTTTTTTGCAAAGGCTACATTAACTGGCAGTACATTCCTAATTTCACATAAAATAGTACCTTTAACCAATGATGGAGTTTTAGAACAAGGTAAAATATATCATCTCCTGATATACTTGTGTATAGCCTTACATTACTTTGAAAACTACTCAGGTGTACACATCAAAGCTCATACACAAGTCTAATCTCAACATTCTAATTTCTTCATTTATTCTTTTTGTGGGGTGGAGTGCAATTAAAAAATATGCAACATCAAATCCATAATCAAATTTACCTTTTAAGTCTAAAGCACAATGTTCTAGAGCACATCACTAAAACATTTTCATCATGTATAACACAAACTTTAAATCTATTGTAGAGCAGCTACCCATTTTTCTCTCCCTCAGCCCCTTGAAACAATTTTACTTACTACTTCTATGAGTCTCATTCAGATCTCTCACACCTGAGTGGCTTATTAACACAGGGCTCTCCCGGTTCACTCAGGTTATGATGGGACTTCCTTCTCTCAAAAAGCAGAACAATGTTCAACTCTGTATATAACACATGTTCTTTTTCTATATTTTATCTGTGATGGACATTTACATTGCTGTCAAAAGTTGTCACTGGGAATGATGCTACAGTTAATATGGATCCTAATCATAATTCTTTTGGATAAATACCCAGGAGCAAGACTGCTGAATCACAAAGTAATTTGATTGTTAAGAAAACAATTTGTTTTCTACAATGGCTACACCTTTTCATAGTCTCACAACTGTGTATAAGGGTTCTAATTTCTCTATATCCTGACCGACATTTGTTATTTTGATTCTGATGGCCATCTTAACAAGAATAAAGGTGATACATCATTGTTGTCTTAATTTCCACTTCTGTTAATGATTAGTGAGACTGAGGATCTTTTCAGATTTCTGATTGCTCTTTGACTGTATTCTTTGGAAAAATTTCTACTCAAATACTTAACCAGATTTTCACTAGGTTAATTAGACTTTGGTTGGTTTTAGTTTTTGTGTTGTTGTATTTTGCTGTTATTATTTGTTTTTTATTTGTTTGCCTGCTATTTAGTGATAGTTCTTTATATATTTTGGAGAATAATTCCTTAGTTATATAGTTTGCAAATATTTTCTCCTATTCTATGTATTGCTTTTTTTCACTCATTATTTCCTTTGCTAAGGAGAATCTTTTTAGTTTGATGTATTTCTAATTTTGCTTTGGCTGCTGTACTTTTGGTGACATTCAAGAAATTGTTTCTAAGGCCAATGTCAAGAAACTATTTCCCTGTGGTTTATTCAAGGAATTTCAGTTTGGGAGTATATGTTTAAATTTTAATTCACTTTGAAATCACTTTTTTGCTAAATGATGATCATACTTCATTCATTTGTATGTGAATATTTGGTATTTTCAGTACCGTAAGTTAGAGACTATCCTTTCCCCTACTACTTATTACTGGACCCTAGTTGATAATAAGTTGAACACATGGAGGTTTCTTGGCTATTTTTTATGTGTATACCTGCATATCTTTATTATCTTCTTTTATATTTGGTTGAGTTTTTATAAGGATATTCATTAATTTCTTCCTCATTTTCTTTTCTGTATTTTCCTTTGATTAGGGGCTTATATGAAATACCTTATAATCATAAAATATATTTTAAGCTTATATAAAACTTCAATCACATAAAAAATTTTACACTATCAATTCTCCTCTCACTATACTTTTAAGCTTTTGAGGTCACAATTTACATCTTTTATGCTGTGTATCCATTAACGTATTTCTATAACATTATTTTTAAAACACGTCTTTCAATTTCTGTTCCAGAATTAAAAGTGATTTATGTATCACTATTACAGTATTGCAGCATTGTGTATCTGTATGTGTATGTGTATATATACACATAAACACATTTACCAGCACATTTTATACTTTCATATGCTGTCGTGTTGCTAGCTAGCAACCTTTTAAAACTTTTTTTCTTACTGTATTAAATGAGACTCCAGAATCTAAAAACTGTATTTATTTTATAAAACAAAAATTATCAAAGAATATACACATGTTTTTGGCAATCATAAATGAGAATTGAGGTACTGTTCTAATAAAACTTAGGGTACTAAAGGAGTTGTGTTCCCAAAACCAGTAACGCAGTTCTAATCCATAAATCTTTACCAAATTTAATACCTACCAGTTCCTTTGCTTAGATATGGGGGCTTAAAGAATTTCACAACACCATAGACGTTGACAATTGTACCACTCTTAAGCTGGCTCAGGGGTGTATATATATAATTTGTCACTGGAGCCTTAAAGAAAGAAAAGTCAGTGATTACTTATTAAATATTTATATTTTAAGATATTAGATTTATGCTTATAAATCAGCAAATCTGTATAACTGTATTTTATCCCGTACAAATGAATTTTATCCTTTATTCTTTATGAAGACATAGAATTTAAAAAAAGGCATGTACATACAGCCTAGAAAACTTACTGTGCAAACCAAATATTTTCTTCAGAAGTAACTGTTTTAAGTGGTATAATTGGCACACCAGCCCATAAAAACATAATAAGCCTATACTTTCACTTAAACATTATGCTACTTCAGTAAGAAACCAGAAAACAGCATATGAAAACATCAGTAGTTAATGAATAAACTGAAGCAATAACAGGAAATGCTTTTAAAATATGTATATCTTCAATGTCTAAGAAAACAGTTTCACTAAAAAAAAAGGTATAACAACTAGGTATAATGAAACATTTCTGAGAGTCTTAAAAGGGTAACTAAAATATTGGTCCTATGAATAAAGAATTTCATGTCTTATAATTTCAGAAAAAAAAATTTACTATCTAGAATACTCACAAAGGTATGAAAGGTTCTAAGTAATTAAATCAATTTAACTATCTTTTAAATTAGCATTTCTGAGGATCAGGTTAATGTCTGGCTGCGTCTGGAGTGCTGCACCCATCTTTCCTGAGAAAACTCCCAGGCCTGTTAGGGCTGGAATAATCCACCCCTTTGGGTGTGTAGAGATCTGACCTTAGACAGATAAACTGTTCCTCTCAAAAACCCCTAAAGTCCTGACTCCATTCCCTCAGCCCCTAAAGCATACAATCCAAAAACCAACATGTGGCCAATAACAATGTACCAAATATCCCGACTCCACCCTGGTTCCAATAGCATCCAAGAGCGCCACCCTGGCTCCACCCCCGCCTTACCCTATATAAGCCTGTGCATTTGCTGAATAAGGCAGAAGTGTTCTAGAAACCTTCCTGGAGTCTGTGTGGTGATTCCGTGCCTTGCACTCCCAGTCTGGGCCCCCTGAACCAAGTTCTGCTACCAGGCTCACGGACGAAAACAACACAGTTCCCTAACTTTGTTTGCAAAGAAACCACAGCGGATAACAATCATGATGTTATCAGAAAGAACCCTAAAAAAGTGTGAAGGTATTTTGCTTTTATCTTTAATATCACTTCAAAATTTAAGTACAGGGCTGGCTGCGGATTCAGCTCAGTGGTGCTGCCGCCTGCCTTGCAAGCTCAAGGACCTGAGTTTGATCTCCAGTACCAACAAAACAAAACAAAACAAAACCTTAAGTGTAATTTCTCTTTTTCTCTATTCTGTTATAAAGATTTTACTTGGACATAAATGGAGCTAGGTTCTGATTCATAATGGGACAAGGTGAATAAAAACTGGTAATAAGAGAAAAGAAAGATCAGTTGCTGAAATAACGTGCTTAAGTGTGGAAAGGGAATAAAATGGTTTATAGGGCTTTCCTGGCCCTGTAGACAGAAACACTATATTGACTCTGAGAAGGCTTCAGTTGGGTAGGTCAATCATCACCCACCCACCCATAGCCAAACTGGAAATAAAATTATCTATCACTCTGAAAGATAAAATTTTATCTTTCATCAAATAAGGATGGATTAATTTTAAATGAAACTGATTGCACAGATCAAATATAAAAGAACAGGGCTTAGAAATCTAATCAAACTTTAATACATAAAAAAATCAGGAGCTCATCAATGATGAAAGAATAATAGCATATGAAACAGAAGACAGAAGATATGTGCCTTTGCTAACAAAATAACTCCATTCAATACTCTTTCCTAATAAATACCTCTCGAAAGATCAACCACTATAATTATCCATGTAACTTGACTTGCTAACTCATGACCAAAGAAACCAGCTTAATTCTTAATTTAGCTTTCCAGATAATCAGCCAGTATGTGTCTATATAGCTGTTCTGTTTTTCGCTATACTTTTCATCATATATTATCTCTGCTTTGTAATCATTCTCTTACAAGTTTGTGTAATATACTTTTGAGTGAGCATATATTTGGGAACATGATAAAATTATATAATTCCCAATAAGTTCATGTTAGATAAACCTGTCTAATTCCCAATAAATTCTATGTTTGTAGCCAGTCTGTCTTGGTGACAATAAAGTACCACATTCCATAAAACAGGATTATAGAAGAGCACTCAGTTTTAAACTAAGAGATAAATGTATGTTGGGGGGATATAATAGGGGTAGGCATTATGGTTCAAATATGATGTAGTCCCTGAATTGAACTTTTATTTTATTTATTTTGTTTTGGTTTGTTTTTTTGAGACAGGGTCTCACTATGTAGTTGAGACTGACCTGGAACTCACTATGTAGCCCAGGCTGGTCTCGAACTCAAAGTGATCCTCCTGCCTCATACTCCCAAATGCTGGGATTACAGGCATGCGCCACCACACCCAGCTTAAACTGTTATTTTTAATAACTACACATGACTAGCTGCTACAATGATAGCTTATGTCCATAGTTATGTGGCATAAGATATTAAAACATGTTCATGAAAAAACTATGAGCTCACGACCAAAGAAAATCTGATAGTATTTTCATAAACCATTCAACGTGTAGAACACAAGATCCATATTTCACCTAGACATGAATATTTTTAATGTTCAGATATCTGAAAAAGTAGCCCATTATGGAATCAGTCAAGAAAATGTGAGCTATGTGTCAAATGAAATGTGACTTACATGTACAGGAAGTTAACCAGTGGGCAAAAACCAAGTACAGTAAGCAGTGCTGTATAAGATGCAGGAGAGAAAAGACACTAAGCAGCATAAATTCAACTTATTGATTTCTTTACTTTTTCCTTCTTTTCTCTCTTCAATAATGGACCATGTATTATACCGGGTGCTAAAAGCTAAATTTGTAAATAAAACACAACCAGTCCCTACACTAATGGAAGGACAGACCAAAAAAAGAGGAGTGACAATGCAATGGAGGGCCTTAGAAAGTCCCTTTGAGGGACTAGAGTATCAGTGAAGTGGCAGGGTATTTGGACAGAGTGTTCTTGAAAAGGTAAAGTAAGGAACCAATTAAGCAAAGAATAGAAGCTGAGAATGAGATAAAGCACAGTGTTCTAAACAGAAAATAAGGGGTTGAGAATTTAGCTCAGTGGTTCTGCTGCCTGCCTTGCAAGCACAAGGACCTGAGTTTGATCCCCAGTACCAAAAAAAAAAAAAAAAAAAAAAAAAAACCACAACCAAACCAAATAAACAGAAAATAATTCAACACTTGAAAATCTAGAAGGTGTACTTGCCAGAGTACAATAGAGGCAAAGGTGATTACAAGATTAGGCTGGGTACAAATACTGGGCCTTCAGATCACATAACTTGGCCAGTGAAACGATTTTAAATTCTGAAGATAGGACATATGAAATTGTCCTAAAGTGTTTGAAAAAGCAATCCTTTCATTTCTGGAAAAAAATATTTTCCTAAATTTTAAAAACACTTCTGGTTCAAGGATAGACTAACACTTAGTAATACATTCTGAAGAAGAAAAAAACAATCTTTTCAGGAAAACAGTAAGAACCTCATAAATAATAACTGGATGTTTTACTGATAACATCTGAAAGGTCCATGTTCACTTTAAAAATGCAAAATGAACATATGACAGCCAGAAATATTTAATTTAGAAATCTATTTAATTTAGAATTGTTAATTTAATTTAGAATATTTATTTAGGATTTAGTTTTGAAAAACTGTTTCTGTCCAGTTCTGAGGTTTCTTTACTTTTGCCTTATTCACAAGTTCACAGATGTGTCAAGTATTTCAACTTAATCAATCTACAATAATTTTGGGGAATATTAATACTTAGACTTAAATCACATTTTAAAAAGTATATCAACCCTTTATTGGTCAGTTTTCCCAAACACCAAATTTTAGTTATATTACAATTCAGAATTTAAAATCTGTGTCTTACAGTCATTGTTGACTGCAAAAAAGTCTCTGTACTATTTTCCCATTAAAAGCTAAAGATTTGGTTGAGCATGGGGGTGCACGCCTGTAATCCCAGCACTTGAGAGCTTGAGGCAGGAGGATCGCTGTGAGTTCGAGACCAACCTGGGCTACACAGTGAGTTCCAGGTCAGTCTCAACTATGTAGTGAGACCCTGTCTCAAAAAACCAAAAAAAAAAAAAAAAAAAAAAAAAAGCTAAAGGTTTAAAAATATAAATAGAAGACTCTATTAAACTTTTTAAATATACTGTCTTCTTTATAGTTTAATTCAGCAATATGTAGCCTGCCTATAAAAATGGGAAACTTTCTACTGCTATAATAAAATTTTATAGAAGTGTAAAACAATTTTTTAAAACAGCAAAATGTATCCAAAGTATGAGGTTGCCTTGAACTCATTATGTAGTCCAGGCTAGCCTAGAATTCAAGTGATCCTCCTGCCTCAGTCTCCTGAGTCCTGGGACTAAAGGCATGTGCATGCCTAGCTAAAAAATTTTATATCAAAAACCTTGCCAAATCACAATTTAGCAATCTGTTTACATACAAACTGATGAAAAGCAATAGAAATGAGTTTCCATATAATTTAAAACTAATAAAAATTTCAGTGTCTTTATGTAGTATGAAAATTTTTAATTTTCTTGCATAAGTATGGCTTATGCAAAATATGAACAGATACTTCAGACAGCAGAATAGTCAGATATTAATTACAGTATGAGGTAAATACATAACTCAAATATAACACTATGAGATATAAAAAAAATAGACATTCCCATTGGTGCTACTGGTACAACAGTACTTCAAAATGATTACGAAATAGACTAATTCAAAATCAAACTATAAAGTGGATATAAATGTATGCTTATCTATGTGTACATGTATGTGTGAAAATAGGAGTATGTATTCTAAAATAAATATTGTCTTACCAAAGACATTGATTCTGTGGCAAAATCTCTTACAGATTTAACGTAAACCTGGAAAAAAATGAGAGGGTTTATTTGTGTAAAAACTACTACAAGTGTGATTACAGTGTTAAAATCATACACTTAATTTTATAGTATTCAAATTCACTACAAAGGCATTACATGGTATGGATTACTTGTCAAGAGTGACATGCAAAGTTGTCTAGGTTACAATTAAAAAATTAACAGATGCAAGTTCAAATGAATGAAAATGGATTTTTAAAAAACAGACAATAAATTTTAAGTACACTGAAGTCAGTTCTCGGACAGAATAGGAAAGACAATAAACTTCTATCAGTTGAAAGCAAGTAGAAAATCTGAGTTGATACTAAAAAATTTTCCTGCATAGGGCCTTGGACTTTTTTAAAAAGAAAAAGAAAAGGAAATGCAGTAGTGATTACTGTAAATCTCACCCATCTTCAACCTAATGTAATAAATTTCATATCAAACAGGGCTACTTCTACCTCTCATAATGCCTTTGTGCATATTAGGAAAAAAAAAAAAAAAAACGACAGATGTGGGCTTGCAAGTTCAGGGATTTGCCCAACTTTATCTAACAACCCTGACCAAAGGGGTGGTTTTCAAGTGTGTATAACAGAAAGCAGCTGAAGAGGAAGACAATAATCATTTTTACAAAGAAATAGGAGAAAATTCATTTTACCTATAAGAAGTACTATTATTAATTTAAAATAAAATCAAGTAAACTATCAAAAATGTCTATTATTACAAAGAATTAGATGAGGTATTCAATGTCTATATGTCTCTGTAAGTTTCATTAATTGACAGTTATTTGCTAATAATATTTCCATCAACAATAGACTGCATATATAGTGGCAGTCCTATAAAATTATTTCACCTAGGGATACAAAGCTATCATAGTTCATTTAAATACACTCTCTGATCACACAGTTCTTCGTACATTTCCCAGTCATTAAAAGATTCATGACTATCATCATTAAGAGATTTATGATTGTATCTATAAAGGACCTTCTTTGGTATCGGAGTTATTCTAAATAAAAAATCAAATTTAAAATGAACTTATTTAACTACTAGGGCTCATAAAAGGATACGCTATAATACATGTTCTTTGGGCTTCGAACTTAAGAATACCTAGGGAGCAGCAAAAATGGCTTTCTCTGAGGTTCCCTTATCTAATTAAAGACCATGTCCACCAAAGAACATGACTGGCTTCATATTTCCTTATGATAATTCCATTTACCAAGGACAATTAAACTCTTATCATAAAGGAAGAGACTGATAGTCAGACAACATCCAACACCCAGAAGGATTCTGTCTGTGCTTCAGACTCATTATTGCCTCTAAAAATCACTTTCTACAACCCTAAAACTATTGGTATCTCCTCACTTCTTACCTATAAAGAGGATATTGAAATCTCAACTATCTGGCCCTTGAGTATTTTATTGTGTAAGGCTCCTGTACATCTCTATACACACTAATGAATTTGGGTTTTTTTCCTGTTAATCTTCCTATTGTCCATTTGTACATTCAATTATTGAACCTCCAGTGGGAAAGCTTGGACTAAAATAATTCAGTCAGGCTAAGTAGTTTATGCACTGACTTACAGATGTCTATCTAATCTTTAATTCACTGAAAGAACAATATAAGAAAATAAAAGTTGTACTTACATAAAGAGTTGATTTGAAGTCTTCAAATGCTTCCAATGTTTACCTTCTTATAAAGTTGCTGGCAAACAATAAATCCAGCCACTACAATAGTGTCCTAGATAGAAAAAAGTAAATCAATCATTAAATACCTGTAATTCAGAATGTCATATACTTACATTATTATATTATCTAAAGCAGAAAATACCACTATAAGATGGAAAATTGGTTAACATAAACTGATTTAATGCTTACAGAAAATATGATTCAGATTATCATCGCCTCCGAAGGGCCAGAGTATGTTTCACTTCATGGACCAGAAAAACACTAAGTAAACCACTTAAAAGATTGTATTTAATGACACTTCAAAGCTCAATATTTATCCCAGTTTATGTAAATATGTTGTAAGAACACAGTAAGCCCCCCGCAAAGTCGCAGTTCAGTTTGAGGCTTCCCTTGTTCCTGGATTTTTCCTTATAACCTAACCAATAATTGTTCTCAGAAATCCCTGCAATTTCACGGAACAACAAATATCCTCCACAACTGTTTTTATGCCAGGAGGTCCACAAGTAGCCAATTCGAAAGCATTATTCAGTTCTTCTTCCTGCCGATTGGCTGCTGTTCCACAACCCATTTCCCATTTCTGGCAGATGCTCCAGCATTCTCACATCATAACAGGCTGCTGTACCAGGTGTAGCTGTCTGGTTCTGCTCTTCTTAAAGCCCTAAGATCCCCAAGGTGCCACTAACATGAGCCACCATGTTCAGCAATTTGTAATAAAAACAAAAAAAACTTCATACTACAGTTTTGAAAAAATCCTTGTATGAAAAAAACCTCATTTTAAAAAGTGAAAGCTAAAACTGAAGCAAATGCCTTATATGTCTATAAAATGTTTCATTGTCCAGCAAAGTAAGAGTTAAAATCTTGTTACCATTATTTTTGGTGTTTTAGGATTTTGACAAAGGAGAAAGACAAAAATCAAATTAGAAAAGTTCATTCCTTTATGCAGAAAGTTTTACATTTGCTTTGCAACAATCTTTAATCATGTTAACATAACCTCTAAAGTAAATATACAAAAAACCCTCAAATGAATAGTATTCATGGATTTTAAGCTCAGAAAGGTTTTGAAGTAAATTATAAACTCAGTCTTCTTATCATTATATTTTAAGAAATAAAATCATGACTTACGATCCTATTATTTGACAAGTACTAATTAGCTTGCTATACTTCTATTTTCATGATCACCTATTTAATATTTATTTATTTCAATAGGGAAAACATTTTTCACATTCAGTTTAGTAGCATATATTAAATACCTAATATGTTGTACATGTTTTATAGATGCATTGTACATGTTTTATAAATTCATTATAACACTCTTACATTATTTCCCAAATAAATATTTACCAAATACAAGAATCCTAAAGAAATATAAAGATAAAAATGTGTTAAAATATAGGCAAATAAGTTCCTAATATTCAATATCGTGCATTTATTTTTAAAATGTTCACTTACACATCTAGGATAAAATAAGTGAAAATAAAACAATTTATAAAACATGATTAGTATAAAATTATCTGATAAAAATAGGCATATGGAGGTTTACATATACACAAACACACACATACCAACCTATGTAGACACACATGTAGGCTAGAAGGATACACATTAAAGCATACCAGTGACTTTACCCAGAGAATGGGCTGGGAGATGGTAATGGGTTCAGAGGGGATGAGGAGATTTTTGCTTTTTAGATTATATCCTTTCACACTGCTTGAATGTTTTTAAAAGCATGACAACACAAAAACAACAAAATCTTCTAAAATAATATTTGCAAGACCTTATTCAAATTCATAATAATTTTCTCAAGGTAGGAAAGAGAAATAGTTGTGGAGATAGTTTCTCCACTTACTTCAAGTTCTTTAACAGACTGCAAGTTCTTTAGCCTTAGAGTGTTGTCTTAATAATAAAAATCACAGTAAAAAAAAAATCAAGGGAGTTAATAAAGGCTTAAACGAGAAACACATGGATGGTTTTTTCAATCTATAAAATTCCACACAAATTTAGTAACATTTTCAGTAATAAGATTTAGTTTATTATTATGACTAAATGTTAAATACTGGTTATAATAAATATTTAAAAAATAATACTTTTACCACCTATTCGTTAGACAAAATCTACCTCACAGCCTTTAAATTCAGTCATATAATTTGCTATTGAACTATGTAAAATAAAAAAAGGAGGATAGGAAAAGGAACAGAAAAGTTCTTTGGTCTTCTTAATGCACCACAAGTTAGACTGTATCACTCTATCTCTTTACATTATTCCACTTCAAAACATCTGAATGCGTTGCTCAGAAAAAATCTTTAAAAATTATGAATCAAAATTTAAAAACACAATTACATATCCACACTCTCATGAACACAATCACAGATAAACCCCAAGAGTCATGAGGTAAAAGAAATTACAAGAGATTCAGGCTCTCAGGTAAAGCAATTTTATATACATATAAACAATACATACATACCTCTCTCATAGCAATTCTACATAAAAAACTTCCTCCAAAGATTTTTTTTTGTTTTTCTTAAAAGTTTCTGCATTCATATTAACACTTGACTCTCATAAACATATTTTTTTTTCAAAAATAATTCAAGATTTTTGTGAGTTACTAACTTCTAATATCAAATCATTATTTCTGGGTAATGTGGCCTCAGCTAATTATTCTCAGAGGTTAATATTAAATTTACCTATATAACTACGACAGAATCACATGAAATTCTGTCTTTAAGAAAGCAGTGTGTGATAAACATGAGTTCACAGATCTCTTAGTAATTAAATAAAATGTATGGATGACTTCTTCAGAAAAGAAAACACATACTACACATGTATATTTTAATTGCTTTGAGAACCTCTTACATCCCTTTACACATAGTGTGAAGTCTAACCATCTATACTATAGCCTGATGGCCCTTTCAGGTAAATTAAGTAAACATTTTAATAGGTATTTAACTCTTGACACAGGACACTAGAGCCTCTTCTTGATCATTCATTAAAATGGATGTTTCTCCCTTGAAGGAATTAGAAGTGGGCAGTTCAATGTCTCACTTATTTAAAAATGTGAGGAGAGAAGAAAGGAAAAGCAAATTTAATGATCTTAGCAAGTTGAAAGGACTCAGACTACAATTTCCTGGCCTAGATCTTAGATATCAAAAGAGTATATCTTTAAAGAAAGAGTTCATCTGAAAAAAGAACAAAAACTTCGTTTCATATTCTACAGCCCATAAAAATTAAATATTAGGCCAGGAGTGGTGACGCACGCCTGTAATCCCAGCACTCGGGAAGCTGTGGCAGGAGGATCGCTGTGAGTTCAAGACCAGCCTGGGCTACATAGTGAGTTCCAGGTCAGTCTCAACTACACAGTGAGACCCTGTCTCAAAAAACAAACAAAAAAAAAACAAAGCAAACAAACAAACAAAAAATTAAATATTAGGAATTCAAAGTACTGTTGAAAAATTGCTTATGTATACCTAGCCAAATGAAAAATTGATAAGTATTAATACCATTTGTTTGATGTCATGGTTTGTTTCCTTAATAATATCTTGAAATATAATCATCACTGTAACAGTTTTAGGAAGCAGGACCTTTAACAGGGGCTCTGCCTCATGAAGGGGATTAAGGCCTTTATGAAAGCATGAGCTCAGTGCGCCATCTCCTCACTTCCCACTGTGTGAAACAGTATGAAACACTCAAGGCACCACAAAAGAATCACAATGCCAAACTTGCCAGCACCTGCATTATGTACTTGCCTGTCTCTAGAATCATGAGCCAATACGTTTTTGTTCATGATAATTATCCAGTCTTCCATATTCTGTTGCAACAGCACAAAAGAGACTAAGACATTTGTTTTTAAACTTAATTCTTTTTCGACAGCGGAATGATAAGTTAGATAAAATATCTTTTGAAACTCTAGAATCAATTGAGTCATTAAGCAACATTTAAAAATATTCTCCTGCAACAAAACATAGTAGTAGTCTCTAGTTTAAGATAAAAGATATACGAGTTAACTTTCTAAAGAAGTGGATTTGTCCCTCTTAAATGCCTATTTATATTCTAATTTTTATTCATACTCTCTTCTGTCCTTTCTCATTCTCATCATTTACAAAGCCTATCTTCCTAAAACCTATGGCATGAGTTCAGGTCATCATAAACACTGAATACTTAAAGAAGCCCAACCATTATCTCAAGCATGAATTAAACTGATATACAGCACATATTCAAGAGAAGGAATAATAACAGTAATGAGAGAGAGAGAGATGTTGTAAAGAGGTCCTTGCAATGAATGTTTAATCTAGACTCCCAAGACAGATTTTACAAAATCAGTGCCATCTCTCAAGTCTACTGATTTATAAATCATCACAATTTCTGCAACTATAGTATGTCCGAACAATACAGAATTATCAGCTAATGTTAACACTCACTTTACATTAACTTCAATCTGGAGACATTCACTGTTAGTAAAAGTACAGTAACCATAGAAAAGTAAGATGAGAAGACAAATTCCTGGGCTCAGATGCCCAAATGCTATTCCATTGACCTCTTCTCCTTATCTACTTACAGATAAGCAAAAATAACCATGATCAGGTACTGAGCTCCTACTACGTGCCAGTGGTAGATATGTCTAATACTGACAATAATCCAGAAAGGTATTTTTATACAAAGATGAGTAATACTAAGAGCTTTGCCTCAGAGTTTCAGATAGCCTGGGATTTAGACACTCTGACCTTCTTGGCAGACCTGAACAACAAACTCACCCTTCAGAATTTCTTGTACCTGCTAATTCCTGTTTAGAGCACTACTACTTCAGATATTTGAAGGATCACTTCATTACTTCTTTCAAGTATCTGGTCAAATGTTACTTCAGTCTTCCCTTCATCACCAGATTAAAAACGTATCTTTCTTTCCTTCTTATATACTGTATTTTATCCCTTCTCCACTTTGTTTTCTACAAAGCTGTTGTCACTTGAATAAGAATGTATTCATTTATCTATTATTGTCTGTCTTCCACTAGAAAGTAAGCATAAATGCAATTTTGTCTGCTGAATCACCAGTGCTGAGAAA